GACAAAAAAGTACCGGAGAACAAAGAAGAAAAAAAAAGAATAATAATAATAATAATAATAAGAAACCGAGTAAAAACAATATGTTCCCAAACTTCGTTTGGGGAACATAATAAGGCAGGAAAATTCAAATTCTCATTTCTCTACTAGGATTTTTACATCGGGCTCGGAGTTGGTTTTATTCAGAAAGACAGCACTGGGTTCAAGGCGACTAGGGGTACCACACCGGTAATTGACCAATCAGATTGAACTTAGTCAATTGTAGTCCCATACATACAAAGCCGATTTCCCTTTCTTTTGAGATTTTTTTAAATTTCCTTCCAGGCCATTTTGACAACTCTGGTACCTGTGCCTAGGAAATTTTATCTACTCTGTAAATAAATAAAGTTTTTTGACAGGAACTATTTTCCCAGGGCATAGGAGGCTACTTCCTGGGGTGCTTTTGAGATGTTTATAAAGACATTGAAAACACGTGGATTCGAGGGTAGCCTTGTTTGCAAATGCAAAAAAATCAGAAAATGTCGTGTACGTACCCTGGTTTTTTGGTGTCAGTTAATGTGACAGGTATTGTTTAACACCCCCTCATTAATATTTTTTTCATGAATTCAAATACCTGATGTTTTACGGGGAAAGAAACGTGTATTCTTTTTAATATACCGAAACTCGCTGTTTCTGGGGATTGTGTAATTCTAAAAAAAATTCAAATAAATTTCAAAGGTAAAATAAAAGAAGAATGCTTGGTATTAAAATATTAATTCATATCAGTAGAATTGAATGCTATTAACGACATCTAGAGATATAGGCTTTGAAAGGTTTATATCATATCTTTGTTCGTCTGCACTTAAATTTCAAACACGACAGAATTTGTAATTTTTGCCGTAAAAGTTCATTATTTCTATATACTTTAGAGACTTACCGTAAAACTTTCAGGAAACTTTCTATGATGTCTTTCCTGCACCTTAAGTGAAATTTTATGTCGATCCCAGGTGTGGATTGAGTTTCAGGGAAATTTTCTACGTTGTTATTGATATTTTTGTTTTCAGGAGAAAGGGGGGGGGGGGTTGACTTACTTATTCGAAGCATTTGTTAAAGTGAGTTTGTAAATACATCTACTAACTTGAGCTGGATTGTGACCTTTGAATCAAGAGGTCAAAGGTCAAGGTCATCAAAAGCATTTCATAAAGAAATATAAAACTAACGGCCATATCAAGTATACAAGTCATTTGAACATTGCACGCGCGCGCAGGTGCAATGCATGAAAGCCATATCATCTTGACTACACCTTTAATATGTTTCTATTCTTTGAATTTCAAAACGTTCCATCAAAAATTTACGACTATATCAAGTATATCGATTATTTAACGCATTGCGCGCGCACACGTGCATGCATGCCCTTGCATTCAAGTTTGATAGTAGCATGATGTAGGAATCCGTCATATCTATTCATATTCTAAATTTCATCCTGTTTTGTTGAGAATCAAAAAAGTTATAGGCATTTAAAGTTTTAACCAATCAGATTGCAGCGCACGTGCATGCGCGTGTTTTCATGAAAAATGTTATATATCATACTGTAGTATATCCTCATGCATGACTATGTTTAAAATGTCAAAGCATTTCGTCAAAAAACAAAAAAAGATATTGAGATTTTTGTTTCAGCCAATCAGAGCGCAGCGCACGTGCATGCGCGTGAGTTCGTGCTAATTTGACCATGTCATATTATCTACACTATTAATGTATCCTTATATAATGAGTTTTAAAGTATTTCATCGAAAAATGTAAAAGTTATGGCTATATAAAGTATATCAGTCATTTCACTCATTTCACGCGCCCGCACGTGCATGCGTATGCGCGCAAAATGACCTTCGTTCCGCACACCTACACTTCACACCTATTAACCCTAAAAAGGTTTTAGCTCAGTTGGATGAACAGTTTCTGAGAACACTCGCGGACAAAAAAGTACCGGAGAACAAAGAAGAAAAAAAAGAATAATAATAATAATAATAATAATAAGAAACCGAGTAAAAACAATATGTTCCCAAACTTCGTTTGGGGAACATAATAAGGCAGGAAAATTCAAATTCTCATTTCTCTACTAGGATTTTTACATCGGGCTCGGAGTTGGTTTTATTCAGAAAGACAGCACTGGGTTCAAGGCGACTAGGGGTACCACACCGGTAATTGACCAATCAGATTGAACTTAGTCAATTGTAGTCCCATACATACAAAGCCGATTTCCCTTTCTTTTGAGATTTTTTTTAATTTCCTTCCAGGCCATTTTGACAACTCTGGTACCTGTGCCTAGGAAATTTTATCTACTCTGTAAATAAATAAAGTTTTTTGACAGGAACTATTTTCCCAGGGCATAGGAGGCTACTTCCTGGGGTGCTTTTGAGATGTTTATAAAGACATTGAAAACACGTGGATTCGAGGGTAGCCTTGTTTGCAAATGCAAAAAAATCAGAAAATGTCGTGTACGTACCCTGGTTTTTTGGTGTCAGTTAATGTGACAGGTATTGTTTAACACCCCCTCATTAATATTTTTTTCATGAATTCAAATACCTGATGTTTTACGGGGAAAGAAACGTGTATTCTTTTTAATATACCGAAACTCGCTGTTTCTGGGGATTGTGTAATTCTAAAAAAAATTCAAATAAATTTCAAAGGTAAAATAAAAGAAGAATGCTTGGTATTAAAATATTAATTCATATCAGTAGAATTGAATGCTATTAACGACATCTAGAGATATAGGCTTTGAAAGGTTTATATCATATCTTTGTTCGTCTGCACTTAAATTTCAAACACGACAGAATTTGTAATTTTTGCCGTAAAAGTTCATTATTTCTATATACTTTAGAGACTTACCGTAAAACTTTCAGGAAACTTTCTATGATGTCTTTCCTGCACCTTAAGTGAAATTTTATGTCGATCCCAGGTGTGGATTGAGTTTCAGGGAAATTTTCTACGTTGTTATTGATATTTTTTTTTTCAGGAGAAAGGGGGGGGGGGTTGACTTACTTATTCGAAGCATTTGTTAAAGTGAGTTTGTAAATACATCTACTAACTTGAGCTGGATTGTGACCTTTGAATCAAGAGGTCAAAGGTCAAGGTCATCAAAAGCATTTCATAAAGAAATATAAAACTAACGGCCATATCAAGTATACAAGTCATTTGAACATTGCACGCGCGCGCAGGTGCAATGCATGAAAGCCATATCATCTTGACTACACCTTTAATATGTTTCTATTCTTTGAATTTCAAAACGTTCCATCAAAAATTTACGACTATATCAAGTATATCGATTATTTAACGCATTGCGCGCGCACACGTGCATGCATGCCCTTGCATTCAAGTTTGATAGTAGCATGATGTAGGAATCCGTCATATCTATTCATATTCTAAATTTCATCCTGTTTTGTTGAGAATCAAAAAAGTTATAGGCATTTAAAGTTTTAACCAATCAGATTGCAGCGCACGTGCATGCGCGTGTTTTCATGAAAAATGTTATATATCATACTGTAGTATATCCTCATGCATGACTATGTTTAAAATGTCAAAGCATTTCGTCAAAAAACAAAAAAAGATATTGAGATTTTTGTTTCAGCCAATCAGAGCGCAGCGCACGTGCATGCGCGTGAGTTCGTGCTAATTTGACCATGTCATATTATCTACACTATTAATGTATCCTTATATAATGAGTTTTAAAGTATTTCATCGAAAAATGTAAAAGTTATGGCTATATAAAGTATATCAGTCATTTCACTCATTTCACGCGCCCGCACGTGCATGCGTATGCGCGCAAAATGACCTTCGTTCCGCACACCTACACTTCACACCTATTAACCCTAAAAAGGTTTTAGCTCAGTTGGATGCAGAGTAAAAACAATATGTTCCCCAACTTCGTTTGGGGAACATAATAATAAGAAACAGAGTAAAAACAATATGTTCCCCAACTTCGTTTGGGAAACATAATTATGATCAGTGGGGTAGGGTGGGGATGCATTATGTATAACAAGGGGGAAATCTGGTAAAGAACAGAATGGTCAAAGCTTCTCAGGTGAGCGATGTGGCCCATGGGCCTCTTGTTTATTTTGATCAATGGATTTTATGAACGTTTTACATCTTATTCTACCTTCGAAACTGAATTCTATCCCTTTTTATAATAATTTATTTATAAATTCGTCATTTCTATTTATTCATTCAATTTTAAAAATAAACAAATAAGAAAACTATTGGAGGCAATGGAAGTTACAGCAGGTTCTAAAATTGTCCTTAAAATGAATTTCAAGCGAAGCAGTTCAATTATAGTTTTGAACATCATATAGGAAGTTGACAATTTCTTAATTAATGATAAAGGGATACCATTTTCCTTTTAAGTGTACTTAGGGCATGTCTTAGTTGTCCTTGGATTATGACGATTTATAAGAATTTTCTCTAGTCAGACTGATTCGATAGAGGAACTTAGGATTAAGAGTTTTCTAGGATGGTCTTCCTACAGAATACAGACAGAAGTTTTAAAAATCTGATTGTTGGGGTCTAGATTAGTCTTGTATTTAATTTTATGATTTTTTGATTTTTTAATAACAAAAGTTGCTGTAAAATGCCTGCCCCCCCCCTTCTCAATTAAATAAATAAATATAGATTCAACATTTTAGAAAAAAAACTATTATATAAAGGGGTTTTGCTTCTATGTAGAATAATATAGACTTCATATTTTCCATGTTTATTCAAGGATATTCGTCCCTGGTTAATAATTTGTTTTTCCCATAATAACTTTTTGGTATACATGACCCTTCCACAACACTTTTGCCACGGTTTTTTTTGCATGAATCTGATGCAAATAATTTAACCTTAATGTAAAAAGTGATTTTGAATGGTATTCACATTAAAGTCGTATAGTTCATAATCTTGCTATATCGATTATATATCGAAGAAAAATTTGGTCTGACATATTTAAGTTCTATACTGCATATGGTATAAAACTAACGCATCCTTTTTCAGATATGTCACATTACCCAGTGCAAAGAAAAAGAGAGTGGGTTCAGTTACAATGGAAGTAACCATACTCTGAGATCAAGGAGAGCCATAACTCCGATCCACTGTACACAGTGTTGTAAGACCGACCGATGTAATCTGGACCTTTGTGGCTGTAACTATTGTTTTTGTTTTGTTTGTTCGTTTTGTTTTTGTTTTGGGGTTGTTTTGTTTGTTTCTTGTTGTTTTTTTTTATAATCGTCGCCATCTTTATCTTAGTTTTCAAATTAAATATTGGCAATGTTACTTACTATGCTTTTCAATAAGATTTAGTTAATAACATATTGCAATGTGCTATATTTTAGTTAAGAAAACTGGTGCCGACGCATTGAGATGTTATTCTTGTTCCGATATCAGACATCCAAAAGAATGTAATGACGTCATCTACTGCCAGCCGAATGAGGTACATCTCTCATAATTTCAGACCTTTCACAGGAAAATGCTTTTAGAGAAGCCGTCCTAATTTTAAAAGGCATTCACACAGGCTCACATGTACTTTCTTAATCATATTCTTTAAAACTTGGCAATATCTGAAATATTTTTATAGACTTTACATGCAAAAGCAGAGTAAGTTGGTTCTTACTAGAAATAGAAAGGGGCGCAGAAGTTGATAGATTATGACTTTCTATAAGCTTCTTCAATTACTTGTACTCGAGGATTTTTTTTCTATTCTTTGTTGAAATAAATATATGTTTAACAGATATTTTACCCCTGAAGGTGGGGTTTAAGTTTGAATCGAAGTAGAATGGTGGTTTTCCCTTCTTTTAAAATGTGTCTCTAATGTCTGAAGTTATTTTTATTGACTATAAATACATTTTAAATCATGAAAGAAATTTCTTTCAGAAATGCCTAATCACAAAAGAAATACGTATAAACCCCGACGGAACACTTAGTCCCGTGTATCAGCAGCGATGCGAACGGAAACAGGTAAATATATTTGGGGGTCTATGTGGGGAGAGGGGGAGTGTTAAAAGAGCGAATTCGCGTTTACAACCACGTGCGCCAATCTCAAACCCAAATCGTATCCAGGTGGAAAAAAAAACATCCTTCTGAAAAAAAATATTTTCTTTATTAGTTGTGCATAGCTGTTCATGAACACAATAAAATTCCAACGCCAACCAGTGCCACAACTACAGCCGCTACAACCACCGCCACCACCACAGCCGCTACAACCACTGAAGAACCACAAACTACCACCATTTCTACCACCACCACCACAAAGAAAGTCGTTGAACTGACTCCTCCCCCATTGTTTAGATCACTCGGTCGATACCGTCGCAGTCACAACTTGATACAGATAGGAGCGGACTGCTGCGATGATGACTACTGCAATAATTTTGAAATCGGTGGACCAGTTCGTAAGTAGCGATCACATTTACCGTTGGCCATTATTTTGTTGACAACAAATAAAGTACATTGTATACCAAACACAGGCACTTGAGTTGTTTCGGAAAAAAATTACCCATCGTATAATGATAACACGTGTTATTATTATACACTGTACTATGGGTTAAAAATTTATTACAGAAACAAATGTCTGTGATACCAAATATAGAATACACAAGGTATCAGCTTTTCAAAAAAGGCTATTGAGCAATACTTTTGTGGGTTTAAAATATGTCCTTACTTTACATTTTGAGAACCTTGTGTACAAATGAAATCCTTGATTTTATTTGACTTGTAGAAGAATCATCACTACACTGCATACTAAAGAGTGCTCTTGGATCTAAATAGCTGCAGAACTGGAGCATAGGCGCCTATGAACTGGAGCTCTCCCAAAAAATATTGACAGACCGGTCTATCAATATTTTTTTTCCGGAGAGCTACAGATCTGCAGCTAGGATCTTAATTGAAAGCTTCATTGTACACCTATTATAAAATCTGTTATCAATTCATGCACTGTAAACATTTTAAAAGATGCGATGGATTAATTAAATACACATTTTGTTGGAGTGTATTTTATCCCTGGAAGTAAACAGTAGTAATGATAGTTCTATCTATAGTAATGAGTGTTCATTTATGTTTTTTTTTTTAAAGGGGGGGGGGGTAATGCCACTACATGTATCAAATATTGAGAATGATATAAGTAAATTCAATATTTAGACACCTTTTCGGAAGAAAAATCCAAGATTTTGCACTGGTTTCTTATTTATTGTGTGCATCTGAAAGACATAAAATAGATCGTGCATCTGAAGACCATTACTTGTTGAACTGCGTTGTTTATTATTTTTGGACTAGTCCATTTATGGAATAAACCAACCGCGGGATCGGGAAGCAAATTAGAAAAATCATTTATTGATAGTGTTGCATGTCCAAATACTGAAAATACGATATGTTA